AGAACATGATTTCTTTCCTCCTCGATACTTCCATGTCCTCTCATTACATCTTGCTTTTAAGTTTTCTTTATCAAAAGGGAACAAAGAATTAGCTGAAAAATTGAATCGTAAATGCAAATTTTGGAGCAACGGTCTTCACTGGTTTGATGGCTATGGTGTAAAAGTATTGGTAGAGATTGTGGATGAGAGCCAGTGTGTACTAGTAATGATGTCCTGTGAGAAAGGTTACAGTGACAATATGGTGTCTCTAAGAAGAAAAGTGATAAGAGAAGTAATGAGTGTTCATAAAGATTCCTGTCCTGGTTTAAAAGTTCAAGAGTTAGTTATTGATCCTGAAGAACTAGCCTATCCTGTGAATACACCAAGAGAAAGGACAGTTTATGACGTTTGTGATTTACTATCAGCAATTAAGGAAGGAAGACCATTTCTTGTGACTGATAATGGACATAAAGAATTGAAGGAGATCCTATCTGATGAATCATTATCAGATATTAGTAACCTGTCACTATTAGGAGGACGTGATATTAAGGTAAGAATTAACACACACAAACTGTTTGATACATTAATACAAGCACTAATAATCAAAAGGTCAAAATCTTAAAAAGTAATTTTATTTCTTATCAAACTGCTCATTCTTTGTCATAATTGTGGGTTGTTATTGTGTGGCTTTTACTACTAATAATATATACTTGTACATCTGTTAAACTCACCTTTCAGCAATACACTACTGATGTATATCACCTTGATAAACAAGCACAGTGACATCATCATCATCATTATTGTATAGGAAGTGATTGAAATATTTGAAGAATTAAACACACCATTGACTCTAATAACGCTAGGTATGTTATAAGTATTAGGAGTATAGGAATGATATGTACTATTGTGGAGTAGTGGGAGCTAGTGTACTATGTAATAGTGGTTGACTGTTTTTCCATACTTATATTATGTACATGTATAGAGCCAACAAGTCAAAAGAGCAGCTCATCCACACAGATCAGTGAGTCTGATCTTGATATTAAGGTAACAGTTATCAGAAACACTCCTCATCATCATTATTTTACTATATTGTTGTGTGTAGGGAGATGGAGGAGTAAAGTGTAATAATAATAAAGATAAAGGAACAACAACCAACACTTTGAATGAATCTCAGGAACATGGAAGTACATGTACTTCAATAGAGAAAGGACAGTCTGGTAAGATATGTACACATCATCCATTAACAAACATTATTATAATTATTGTACATTGAACTATACAAACATTATGTGTATGTATCAAGTATTATTGGTATTTAATATAATGTATAGATAATGATGCACTTAAGATCAATGATGAAGTACAAGAAACACTCACTGATAAACTGCTTGGTAAGACTAAGAGAGTATGTTATAAGTGTCAAGTAGTGGGGTTTATAGTATATACATTATAGTGACTGTGGTTTAATAATGTTTGTATCATATTTATACTTTTATATAGAGACAACAAGTCAAAATGACAAATCAACTACTAATTACCCCCCCACACAGATCAGTGAGTACAATGATGATCAACAAAAAGGCATAACCACTCACTGTTACTAGTTTTACATTAAATTTTATTTTCTTTTTTTATTTATTTACTTATAGTAATATTGACTATCAGGAATCTGGTAGAGGTAAAACAATTGTTAAAAGATGATAACTTTCAAACTACAAAATGGTTTGATCTTGGTCTCAACTT